TTCTACCAAGACTACAATGACCTCATCTAATTGTCCTCCAACCTAGAAGAGATGGCCTCCAACCTACTACTTCAAGCACCTAAAAGCCAAAGGAACACGTCCTTTTCCTCAGTGGCTCCGTGGCTTCGGTCAAGACATCCACCCACGCCAGTTGCACGGATTGGCTGGGTCGGGTTGGGGTGCCCGTATGTGACCGAAATGGCTCGCACATCGATGTCAGCTGAGCTTCTGAAGGATTGAGGTGATATGAGCTATGGCAGAGATCTGATGTGGCATCAGGTCCAAACATAGCGCAAAGCATGCGGTCGTGCTGGAGGATTGCAAGTGAATTGTTACATCCTCAGATCGCTTGTGCCGATGACCCATACGCGGTCCAAGTCCTTTTCATGCAAAGTGCTGCACCCGTGTCCCATGCACAGTTGCGTTTAGGAGCTTCTTTCTTCAGGTCAGCACGATGAGGCTCTTCATTAGATACAACAATTGTCCCCCCTTGCTGCAGCAGCCCCAAGAGTACGGAACACTATGCAAAATAGTGGTAAATCATGTGCAAAATCAACCCCTTCATAGCCCCACAAACTCATTGCAAAGGCCCGGTCATACCCTACTGCTTCACGGAACGTGCCAGCCACACATGCACGCCCCTTCGCTCTCACTCTTTCTATGGTCAGCCAGGGTGCCATAGTTCAGGGCCTTTGGCGGATCAATCCGCCCCAAATCGGTCCCAACACCGTCCCCGGCATCTGTGAGGTGAATGGCTGCGTTGACGTAGCTGCGGACTCTGCGCGGTTCGTCCCGTCCGTCGTACGTCGGTCACTCCGGACCAGAAATGCCGCCAGGAGTTGGTCAAAGTGAAAAACTGATGCAGCTATAGTCAGTGGCTTACCACTTGGCATCTGCAAGAAGAATTAGGAATTTGAAATTTGTTTATCTTGTTTGGAGCACTGATCAACAGTGGAGCTCAATCCACTTTGACACAAAACCATCCGAAGTCACTAGAGATTCGAACTGCCAACCATTGATAATTATGCTTGCCTCATGTGTCGTGGAGCCCCCAAAAAATGGGTCTTCCCAAGGTGTCCGGCTGCTCGGCCAAAGCCGCCCTCACAAAAAAAGACGCGGCACTCGAAGCTGGGGTGGTCCTGGGCTAGCTGACTCTCAGAGAACATCGTCCACAGATCTTCGTACTGGTGGAGCTTGCCACAAAAGACGGTTTCCGCTTCAACTGGCCGAAACGAAGATACGAGGATCGGAGCGTCGGGGAGGAAAAGACAACGCCCAAGTCGTGTGGTTGGTAATGATGCGAGCCTGCCACGAAGTCTTGAGTTGTTTTGAGTTTAGGATGCGTGATCCAGTATGGCCAAATCATCTAACCTAATTATATTTATACCTATACTTATACCTATATCCTTGATTCGAGCTTCGCTGGCATTTTTAAGGGGCTTGTCTCACAACACTCGCAAAATGGTCTGGAAACAGTATATAAGTGAACATCCATCAATAGAACCCAATTTTGAGACATACCCCCTGCGGCTGTTACTCTCCACCCATCCGAAGGCTGGGGTTTGGTCTCCTGCCCCACCTAAGGACCTGAACCTAGAAGGTTCTCTGTGGACTGTGGGCAGCCCGACTGCACAAAAGCTTGAATTCGGGAGGGGCTGCTGGCAGCCCAGAACATCTTGGGAGCACAATCTGATAGCAGCTAGCATGATACTGTGGCTCGGTGCGAACAAGGCTACTGAAAGTGGCTGCTGTTTAGGAGGCAGTTGGTCTTCTTTGCCTTGGTTGGGTCCGGAAGGCTGAAAGCCGGGGTGTCCTTGGACTTTTGGCAGGCCCTGCATCCACCATGGGGGTTCATGGATAAAAGTGTCCTGCAAGCTCATCTTCTCTACCAAGTTCTGTCATGCTCTTACATTTGTGTGGGCCAAGACTGAAGTAGATGATGCGCATGCAAGCACAGCAAGTAACTAGTGCACAACTCTACAATCAACTGCCACCACTCCCAGTAGAAAGAACGTATTTTATTTTTTTGTATGCATGAGTTGGAAACAGACATCGTTGTGCTTAGAACCGGGGAAGGTTGCTGATGCTTAGCTTAGATGCAAACAGTCCAATCATCTGGAGGCCCAGGCATCGGCACTGCCGGTGCTCCACAGAACCAAGAAACACTTTTGGGCAACGTCCCCGTTCTTGAGCACCGAACACACGCGACGACTTCCATACTACAGAAACATGCCCTCCGTCACTGTGAAACACCTTGCCTGCTTCCTCCTCTTTTTGACCCGCGGCATGCCTAGGCCAAAGCCGGAACATGCCGGAACTGTCTGAACTGTCTTAGCCATTCTCAGTCGTGAACTGGGAGGCCACTAGCCCCTTTTTGAAACACCTGCAAAGGTCTCTAACAGCCAGTGAGCCCGGCTGAATTGAGGCCGGGCCTTTCGAAAGTGCTGCCTGCGGTGCGGGGTGAGTTGAAGTACACATGTTCAACCTCTACCCCACAATCATAGATCTGTTTTTTCGCCTCTTCCCCCCCCCCCCCCCCCCCCAAAAAAAAAAAAAACGGGCACAGCAGGATACAGCAGGCTCCTGGCGAAGTTTCAGAAGACATCGAGCGCATCTCAAGGAAATCTGCTTTATGGCCGACAGGAGACGCTTAAGTTGGATTAAGTTGGCTACAATCAGACAATAGAGTTTGGCCAAAAACCCAATGTGACACTAGAACACGGTGACAAATTGAAAGTTTTCGGATGGTCTTTAGATGTCTTCAGTCTTTACCCCATACTCCTAGTGACCTAGTGGTTCAGCAGCAGGCGATCATCTTCAGCCAAGGAGCACTTCGGACTCATCAATCACTTCTTCACCTGGCAGCGTTGCAAGCAATCATGAATTCCATTGCGTGGCACAAGTTGGGCCACGGAATCTATGTTCATGCATGTTCCGGCCTTTCTACGACTCCTTCTACCATACACTTCGCTGGAAGGCATTTCTGAGTGATTGCTGAATCGGCATCTGCCAAGCAATCCACGTCTTTGATTGATTAACACACTCTCTCTCACTATATAGTACAACGTTCAGAGTCCGACGCGACCTGCCGCCAAACAGTACGATCGAAAAAAGAGGCCGCTCCTCGCTGCTCACCCACAGTGCTCATCCAGCGACCCCGGAAGACGCTGTCGAAGAAGGCGTCTGTGTTGTCATCTCCTGCATTACCCGTTTGACCCTCCAACCCCCCGAACACCCTCAGTTGGAGCACTCAATCGTTACATGTGTCCTCGAGGTTTAAGAAAAGAAACGACTCAATCATGTCCCATCCCACTATCACATGCCATAACAAGGGGCAAAAAGTTTGGAATCCCACAGCTTGGTTACCCACATGCGAACAGGCATCCCCCAGACTGGTGCAGATCAGGTTCGCCACTGGCGGTCCTCCACTGGTCGGAAACTTCACAGACTTGATCATCATCCTGGACATGTCATGAAGGCATGGTCAATGCCGGGGAGCAGGTTGGCAACAAGACTGCAACCAGTTGGCATGGAGCACAACCACATCTGTGGAAGGAATCCTCCAGTTCGCTGAAAACCATCGCATCGGCCCCAGACTGGTGCGCTAGTCTAGTTAGAACAAAAACAGATATCAAAATAAGTGCAATAAATGATAAATGCAAATTGTCCAACTCTGCTCTGTTGCCATTCTTTTTTTGCCAGGCCCTCCGAGAATTCAGCACCCTTGGGGTGTTTTCAAGCGCTCGGTGGAATGAGCCGACTCGTCCTTACAAGGCGAGAACCTGTGAACCACGCACGGCCGTTGCTACGAGTTGCACGACTCTGCAACATGACGTCTATTTCTCAAGGTGGCAGCCGAACAGGGTGACAGGGCCTCATCTCCTGCAAAATCCTCCACATCCTCTCCAGATCCTGCGCAAATCCTCCATCTCATCGATAGCCAGCAGTGCTACAGTGCTGGATGCCAGGGAAACTGGCGCGATTTCCCGCCAAGGTCACCTGGCACCTCAGCGGCTTCGTGCACAGCGCGCCTTCATCGGTGATGGAGCTGTAGTCCTGGGCCATGAGGCTTTGAGCTGCTGAGTGAAGGGGAGTCAAGCAGGAAGAGCAAGAGCTCAGTTGGATGTGGAAGGTCTAGGTGTATGTTGAGGTGCGCCCCCATGGAGTGGAAAGTGAGCTCAGCGAGGTCCAAACATGTCAACAACGGTCTGCGCGCATATGGGCCCGCGCACGGTAAGAATCATGATGTAGGGATTGACACTCATAATTCGTTTTTATGTACCATTATGTAGAGGCCATCTCACACACACTTCGAACTTGGTTTTCAGTTAGACTCAATTGCCACGTTGGGAAGGAAGGCGGTGGAACAGCATGGCGAAAAGTCCGAGAAATTGTAGGTGTTTTAACAAAGGTTGTTTCCCTTGACTGCGGTGATGAAGCGGCGCAAATCAGCTGCAAGAGTGGCTGTGGGAAACCTGTTTGTGGGGAAGGTATCATGAAAGAGCCATGAATCAAACCAAAGGAGTGGACAGCGTGATCGACAGTTTCTTGGCAGGTACACGGTCAGACGTCTCTGACCGCATCCCATGACAGCACTAGCTTCGTTGGCCAGCGTCGTGATGTCATGCGCTGGCCCCCTGCTTCTGTGTAAACGAGTGGAACGTGCCTCTGTTACAGTGGAAAGGTGAGAACGTGGAAAACCCTTAGAACCAGGGTGTGACACACACAACAAGCCGTGATCGGCGCACAGACAAAGCGGTGGAGAAACGGATCTTTTTCTCAAAAACCGCCTGCACGCGTGCAGGTCATGCCCCTTTTGGGCATATAGTTGGATCAGGGCTTCAGCCGCAGCGGTGGCGTTGTGGGGTGGTAAAGTGTATGTAGTCGTGGCATGCAATGCAATTCCTGGGATCTGCGGTGCGGAGCATGCGGAAGCTGATCAAACGGCTGCGGGTGAAAAATTAAAAGTTGAGGGATGTGACAATGCGGACCTTGCAACACGGAGAACTTGCAACATGGAGAGAATTCAGAATTGTTGGTGGGAAATCCATCGTTTATAGCCCGGCGGCTCGAAAATCAGTTATAAGGGATAAAGTTGAACAAGTGGAAAAGCAGTTATGAAAATAGAAGGTCGGTGATTTCCGGTATGATTTCAGCGCCTCCTTTCGGAGGGTCACACCCAGTACCCAAGTGGGAAGACTGAGCGGTCCACACTTCGAACTTGGTTTTCAGTTAGACTCAATTGCCACGTTGGGAAGGAAGGCGGTGGAACAGCATGGCGAAAAGTCCGAGAAATTGTAGGTGTTTTAACAAAGGTTGTTTCCCTTGACTGCGGTGATGAAGCGGCGCAAATCAGCTGCAAGAGTGGCTGTGGGAAACCTGTTTGTGGGGAAGGTATCATGAAAGAGCCATGAATCAAAACAAAGGAGTGGACAGCGTGTGATCAACAGTTTCTTGGCAGGTACACGGTCAGACGTCTCTGACCGCATCCCA